CCCCCCCCCCCCCGGGCGACGATCAGGCGGCCGGGCGGCCTGGGGACCAGCCTAGTGTTTTATTAATTAGTCCGGAAACTCCCTCCACCCCCCCCCTCATCGCCCCCCTCTTAAAAAAAAGGACTGGGAACCAGGTCCCGTACCCCTTACATCAGATACACTATTACACACTCAATGCTTCCCTTCGTTATGGTCAAGGGACCCTGAGACGGTAGCATTGACTGCCTCCTGTGACATAGATCATGTCAGTTTCTTCTTCTTTTTCTTTCTCCTTTTTTTTTTTTTTTCCTGATGTTAGCCCATGTTAGGCAAACTTTGGTGTCAGACGAAAGGGTAAAGTTGTAGAGTGTTTTGGGGGAAATGGCAGTTGGCAGTTGCATTCTGATGATCTTCCTTTTGTATTGGTGGAAATACAGGTCCATCACCTTGCCGTGAATGCGCTGTTGAAGTGCAGCCAAGTTAACGAGTTGGAAGGGGGATCCTTGCTGGGAGTGGACATTCAGCAGCTTGGTGGTCCAACAGATTTACCGATGGGTGCCTGTACGACATATGATGATGTTGCATCTTGTGGATCAGCTTTTCGAATACTCAAGCAGGTAATCTCTTTATGAAAGCCTATATGGTCTGTGGCACTTTGCTCGTCTTTTTCCCCTTTTCTTCTCCTCTCTTGTCAATTAAAATATAATATATATATCAAATGAATTTTTCATGCATTCGGGGGAGGATCATGGCAGCTGCCATGTGTGTTTTTCTTCTTTTCTTTTTTGGTCAATTGAAAAAAAAAAAGAGCGACGGCCTTGAGATGTCCTCTTCGAACTGTCGGCCCCAAGGTAAATTCAGCGATATTGTACTCATCAGATTGCATCTGGATTCGAAGTTCGAACTCAGGTCTGTGCTTCAATAGTTCATTGGGTGTACAAACTATTCATTCCTAACAAAGAGTTTTTGGTTGTTTGGCCAGAGTTTTGTGGCGAGAAAAGTGCTTGCTGCTATCGATTGGTCAGTGGAAGCCACATCTGCTGGAAACTGGGGGGGCTGGCCCAGTGTTCTTATTGTTTTTTTTTTTGTTTTTTTTTTCGGAGAAAGAGAGGGAGCCCGTAGTGTCATTCTGTCATCCAGGACTTGAACTCCTAATCTGTTTATTTAACTTTATTATCTGTTTATTAACGCTTGTGTGTATGCACTATGTACCATTCATTGACTAGGCAGATACCGGGAAGCTATATCCTGCATCCTTGTGAACCGCAGACCTGAGCTCGTATTCGGCAAGCCGGGATTTGGAAAGGAGACGGTAGTGTTTTTGAGTTCATGTTCCCCATTCTGGAAGGAGAATGGGAGTCGTGATCATTTCGTAGGAAGCGCAGAGTTGAACAGCTGTTAACTTGTGATCTAGTAAAAAGTGAAAAAGAGTTTAAAAGAGGGAATAGTCGTGCTGCTTCTGCCTCTTCTTCCACAGGAATCCTTCACACCGCCTCAATTCACCCAGTGGCTTGTATCTCTCGACTGCTTCACCCCAGTCTGGACACACACACACAAAAAAAAAAAGGAATGATCGTTTTTAACCTTTTTTTTTTTTCCAACTTTTTTGGGTGTTGTTCATGTAACAGATGGTGCAGGCCTTGGTGAGCGATGCGGTGGGATCAAGTAACGTGTATGCTGATGCTCTTCTACAACACCTGTACCGATGGCTATGCAGGTCTGCATGCTTAATCTCTCCTCTCCATGTACTCTCCTCGTTCTATTTGTCCTCTCATTGTCATTGTCATTGTTGTTGTCGTTGTCGTTGTCCGTGTCGTTGTTGTTGTCGTTGTCATTGCCGTTCCCCTTATTCTCATCCTCCTCCTCCTCCTCCTCCTCTCTCTCTCACTCACATACAGAGACAAATCGTCCCTCTCTTTCTGCTTTGCTGAGCTTCTCCCTCTCACAGGATTTTTGTCCCTCCCTCATTGTCATTGCTCTGCATCTCTCGACTGCCCACATCTACCTTTCAGTCAGAGTTGGAGGTGCTTGATCTGCACATATGCAGTGAGGGCCAGGCAGTATTGTTATGATGAAAACACTGAAGAGAATTTCAACTAGTCCAGCAGTTGTCTGGACTGAATATTGTATCGTGGTATTAAGCGTCCAGGTCGCTTCAGAGGACCACGATTCGAAGGGATAGTTCCTCCTGTTCAATTTTCTCGATTTATGCATGTCATCATTGCGCAGGGGCCATGCTAATCTTCTCTGTATCGTTCCAATTTTAACGGATGTCCCGAAGGACATGTGTGATTCCTCGAACGCTTGAGCTTCGGTAACCTACCGCAAAGACTAGACGTGCCCGATCAGGGAGAAAACAATTTTGAAGACTTAAAAAAAATGAAACGGAAAATACGAGATTTGGCTGATCTGTTGCAACTTTTATTGCTGTCTGTGTGGCGGTGGTGTCCACAGTCCTCAATCAAAGCTCCATGATCCAGCACTGCACAGAATTCTGCACAAGGTGAGAGATCCTTCCTTCTCCTTCAATTCCTGTGTAGAAAATGTTGAAGGGGTTTAGTCTGTTAAGGTCGACGACTCGGGCTTCTCCGCAAAGGATTAAATGATTTAGCGCGTCTGCAGCTTCTTGTGGGATATAAGCACCTGCCATGCAACTTCGATGGTTATAGTTTCATTCAGCTGGCTGAGCTAAGGCTATAAGAATTCCAAGAGAGACTGCAATCAGCTGAAACAAAACAAGAAGAGACGTCAATCAACTGAAAAAAAAATAAAACACAAGAGAGACTTTGATCATTTGAGAAAAACAACCCACATGAGGCGTGCGCTATCATAAAAATAGGCAGAAGGTTGATGGTCGCATGTGGTGTGGCGCTGTGTTGCAAAGATGTGTATTCTCTGTGAGAGTAAAGGGTAGTACCTCTTTGAGATGCGCTCCACTGCACAACACTCTACATGCATTTGGATGCTTTCAGGACCAGGTGCATTTGGACAGGTCCAACATTTTGAATGTACCTGGGCTATAATGCGTCCAAATGGATGTAGAGTGCCGTGTAGTGGCGCGAGGCCCCACAGGAAACTGTCCTTCGGATCTGTTAAAACTGGAAGCATACAGAAAATAAGAAGAAGAAGAAGAAGAAAAGAAATTTCGAGGAAACCCTCTGCCAAAAGTTGTTTGTATTGCAATTTTACTCAACAAGGAGTCGACAAGACTCAACATATGTTTTACTTAAAAAGAAGAAGAAGAAGAAGAGAAGAAGTAGAAGTAGGAAGTAGAAGAAGAAGAGGAAGAAAAGAAAGAAAGAAAGAAAGAAAGAAAGAAAGAAAGAAAGAAAGAAAGATTAGCATGGGCCTGTTCAAAGGATGATGACACGTGCAAAAAAAAGAAAGAGTAAAGATATCACAGAACACAGAGTTTAGTCTTCACTTGTGTGAGCTCGTACATCACCCGCCCCTCTAGCCTCTTTTTGCAAACACTTCGTGTGAGGCATTGCATCGTTTAAAAGTTGTTGAAGTTGACACTGTCGGCTCTACAAAAGAGGCAAGCAACACAGCTCTCTGCTCTCTTTCTCCTCCACCTGCTACTGCCTCTGCTGCAGAACAGGCAAGCAGCACAATCCTCTCCTTTGTTTGGATTGTTGGTGTGCACATGGGCCACATGTGCCAGACCGGTGCAACACGTGTGGTTCATACTTGCGCATATGACTATTGGTTCGCTTATCGATGGTGGACTCTGTAGGTGCAACCTGCAACCCTTACTGTTTTCAGTGAAGGGACATATGCTACCACCTTCAACCGCAGAGAATGCCCTGCTGTATTTGCTGCAACTTTCAGTCCAGATGTGGCCATCATGACCGGGCGCTTCTATTACGGTGAAGACGGTAATCGATAAATCTGATGTTTGGGCTCCAGGACTGCACTTGCATGTACGCATATTGTTGTGGACCGTAGATTACAAGGATCGAGGATCAACAGCCAGAAACACGGAATCCGGGTAAATGGGATCCAGTCTCAGGAAACTTGGGCCCACCTATGTTACCAGAGTGGCCGGGGACCACTTGTGCGCCCAGGCAAAAAATGAATTGAAAATTTGAAATTTAAAAATTAAAAATTAAAAATTGTTGTTGTTGTTTTTAATAATTATTTTTATTTTTATTTGGCAAAGATTTTTGATCCGACCCTGGATTTGTTTGAGATTCTTGTTCCGGGATGTGGTTGGGATAGGTTTGGCCGAAAGTGCCTTTCATTGCCCGTCTGGCCGCAGCGAACGATGTAAGGGACGGTGGGCCAGGTTCCCGGCTATACGAATATGTTTACCTCTTCTAAAAAGGAAAAGTTGTTCAGTTTGTTTTTGTGCACAACATAGTTTTTTCTGGATTTCGTTTTTTTTTTTTTTTTTTTTTTACATGGACCGTTCATGTCCCTTGCGCGGCCGGGCCTCCTGGGCAACCAAGGTGGCCCTGGTGGCCCGGTTGGTAACACAGGGGCCCACTCAGTTCCCCTCCTATGAGAAAGAAGTTGAGAAAGATGGGCATACTCAATCAAGCACCGGATTTTTTTTTTTGGCTTGTTTTCCTGGTTAATGATGAGTTTATTGGACTCAATCCCCTTGTCATTGGGACCTCTTTCAGGACATCGACCTTGTTCCTCTCGTTTTTTGTCTGTTTTGGGGCTAGCTCTCTAAGACCATCCTATCCATTGGAGTTTGAACTCATGATCTGTTCATGAACAGTTACATGGGATACATTTCTCGGCCTTTTAGGTAAGATCAAGTGTAGTATGTTTTCTGATCAGTTTAATATCTGATCCGTGGAAGAGGGGGGGGAGGGGAGGGGGAGGGGAGGGGGAGGGGAGGGGAAGATGTGCACCACGTGTCCACAAGGCAGGTATGGTTTGTCTCGTTCAAGATGTGTAGATAGTCTAATTACTAATTAGTTCGTCTTAATTGATTAATCAATGCATTAATACATGCCGTGTGTGTACATGTCTTTTCCACTGCAGGTTATGCAGAAGGTTTTTGCCCTCCTGCTTGGAGAAATAAAGAAGCTTGGAGCCATGGTTGTGTATGCCGATTTCTCGAAAATTGTCATTTGCACTGGCAAGAGGAAAATGCAAGCTGCGGAAGGATACTGTGTCTACCTGCTGGAAACTTTGCGAAGCAGGTCCGCCATCTTCTTTGGCCAAGCCTGTCTGTCTAGTCATTGAACAGTCGAAAATGAAGCTGTTTCGAGTTCGGATCCGCTCATCTGGGTGGAAAAGGGGTGTTGTTATGGTGAAAGTTTATAACACACACACACACACACACACACACACACACACACACACACACACACACACACTTTTCCCGCTCGACCACACAAACATGGGGAACCTTGCACCTTCTAGTCTATTGCGCATCCATACTTTTTTGTTTATGGATGGTTTGTGATGATATGAGGACGGAATGAGAGAGAGTTTGGGGATGTTGACTAACACACACACTGGTCTT